GAGGGGGAGGGGGGGGGGTGCAGGCAGAGGGTGTTCGGTGTCGCCCACGCCGAACTGGAACTGCGGGAGCGCTGCGCGCAGCTCGGAAAATAACGAATTTGCCCAATTCGCTTCGGTGTTGGTGGCGCATACCGCTGCTGCTGTTGCTGCACCTGTGGGGAGTGCCGCAGAGGTGGATGAGCGGGAGGGCCGCCTCGGAGGGTCGCAGCTCGCCGCAGTGAAACACTCCCGCAAGGAGCGCGCCGCCACCACTAAGACCCCGGCAGCAGCCGACGCAGCCTGCGGAGCCTGCGCCCATTAAAGGCGTTCGCCTTAAGCGGTCCTTATTGCAAACGGCTCGGTTTGGCGCGCGCGGGGCGCGGAGGACGCGGGGAGCGGGGGGCGCGGCCCGCGGCGGAGTTCCCTGCCGGATATTGACAGCAAATTAAGACGAGCGTCGCGGGCGCAGCGGGTGCAGCGGGCGCCAGGAGGAGGAGTAGGAGCAGGAGATTGCTTGCGCTCGCGGCCGACGAAGTGCCGGAGCAAAATGGGGACGGGACACTGCCGCCGCCACTGTGCACAGCGACAGCGTGACTTAAGAACCGAGCCAGTTTTATTTTATCTTTATTATTTTTCTACCTCGCCCCTCGTCCACCACTCTCTTTGAAAAAAAAAAGCGATGCTTTCAATGTTTTTGTTTTTTTTGAGTGTGTTTCGTGGCAGCATGTATGAAGATAATGGCGAATAAATGGGCCATAATTTATGAGTTTTTTTGGTGTTCCGGATTCACCGCGGCGGCGGCGCGATACGATAGAGGGTCCATGGCATAACTCTCTGAATCGAGGATAAAAATCAAGTTTCATCTTTTTGTCTGGCGCGGGGGGCCCCTATTTTTCGCGTCCCCATCAAGCAACAGCGGCGGAGGCAGAGGCAGGGGCGGTGGCGGGCGGGGAGGAAGGGAGGAGAGAGGGGGTGTATTGTCCCTCACACGCACCCAGGGCTCGGCGCTGCTCTGTTCTGTGATTCATGCACGGAGATGCGAACTTTGTTCTCCTGTG